TATATATTATTATATATATATATATATATATATATATATATATATATATATATATATATATATATATATATATATATATATATATAATTTTAAAACCTGCATTAAATGTTTTAGTATACTTATTAAATTATAATAGGTGAACGATATATTACTTTCCGGTTTAGTGCACTCTCGTGTTACCATTTTGCACATAACGTCAATTTTATGAAGAGCATTTATTAGTAATAATTTCAATTCTGTAGTTCCAAAAATATCCCACAAAATCATGACTGAGAAATTACTGGCACCAGAAAAAAATACAAAAATAATTTCAAATAGTTTTTAATAATTTTCATCTTGATGAGCAACAACTAATTAGATAAAAAGAGAGGAGTTTTAGTTGAATTTCAAAAAAAAGAACATGATTGATTTTATCTATCTCTCTCTCTTTCACTTTCTCACTCCATATATAGATATATACATATATATATATACAGTGGGGAAAACCAAATATTCGTAGACATAACATTTTTAATCTATTGTATTTCCAACTAATAAATAAACATAGTTTTCTTTTCTTATATTTAGCTGTAAACAGTTAATTATAGTGTAAAATAATTAACTGTAAAGAATTAATTATAGTGCAAAATAACTAGATATGCCTAGAAAACATAAAATGCCTATGTAATAGAAATAAATTCCATTTATCCATTTTAATAGTGCAAAAATTTTTTAAAAATTTTCGTGCAAAAATACAATAATAGTTTCAGATTTTAAAACTTGTAACTTGCTTTAATACTCTATATTATTCAAGTGAAATATTCTAGAATATTCCAGTAATCTTATCTTTAGTTAATGTTATCCTAAAACTTAAAACAGAACATTCTGTAATTGACATTCGTGCAAGAAGGTTTTCATCATTGCAAAAGATAAAGAATTCACAAATTCGCAAAAAGAACTGATTGTAAAGCTCTAGAAATAAGGTAAAATTTACAGGAAAATATTATACAACCTGGATATTCCATTTACTACCATTAGTTCATTCATTGCAAAATATGAAAAAAAACTCAAAGCTATTGAAGACGAAAGAAAAACAGGTGCTCCACGGAACATTCCTTCAAGATTTTCGAAGAAATTAATGAGTTAAATTAAACAAAATCCAATGGTTACTCGTCAAGAGTTGCAGTTTCTTCAGGAATCTGTCTCACTAAATGAACAATAAGCAATGAAATTCATAGGAACAATCTAAAGTCACGTTCCCCTAGGAAAATTCCACTGTTGCTGAAAAGACAGAGATGCCAGGTTGAAATTTGTTCGTGAAGGAAAGAATCGTATTAGGAAAGAATATTATGGACAGAAGAAATCAAAAGAGAGTTTTTGGGATGCAGTTCTAGAAATCATGTATGGAGGAAAGACAAAACAAAAGAACAGAGTTCCAACAGCCACATTTGGTGGTGGCAGCATCATGGTTTGGGGAATTTTTTCTGCAAAAGCTACTGGCAACATATCAGTAATAAATGGTAGAATGAATGCCGAAGCATATCAAAATAATTTGGACGCCAATTTAATGATTTCGGTTGAAAATCTTGAACTTCCTCCCGATTGCAACTGCAAAATCTACATAGAAATGGTTTGCTGAAAATAATGTACATATCCTGAAATGACGAGTCAGATTTAAACCCAATCCAGAATCTGTAGCGTTATTTGAAAATTCAAATCCAATCGAAAGCTCCAACAAACTTTCCAGATCTGAAGACCATATATGAAGGAGAATGGAACACAATAACAAGTAAAATTTGCAAATCATTAATGGAGAACTACAAGAAGCCGTTAGTTGCTGTAGAAGTGAATAATGGCTGAAAAGTATTTTTGTATTGTACGAATACTTTTCCATCCATTGATATAATGGGTAAATGAGATTTATTTCTAGTAAATCAATTTTTTCACGTTTTCTGTGCATAATTATTTATCATGCATCTGTGTACAGTTAATATATGAAAAGTATGTTTCTTCACTAGTTGTAAATACAATAAATTAAAATTTTCTTTATGAATATTTGTTTCCCGCCACTATATATATATATATATATATATATATATATATGTGTGTGTGTGTGTGTGTGTGTGGGTGTGTGTATACATATATATATATATATATATATATATATGTGTGTGTGTGTGCGTGTGTGTGTGTATATATATATATATATATATATAGGCTTTCTGAAAAATTAATTTCGCTTGAGCTCTCTGGGGGAGGACGTGTGGGTTTGTAAACAGTGACTATTACGGCTGTTGTAGCAAGACTTTTCGGTAGAGCGAATCGAGTCCTCTCGATCAATGTGCGTTTATCTAAAAATAAATACCCTAAAATTCACATGCATTCCCGCCGTGCGTCGACGGCTTAGCGGCAGAATCTCCGACTAAAGCCAATTCAGTCAGGTTTCGATCCTAGCTAGAGGCACTAAAGATCTGCAAAACAGTCTGTCTGTGGATGACTAGATCGATATCCAGTGCTTGTT